GAGAAAATGGGGGAAGGGTACCTGAGGGTGTGTGGGGTCAGGGGCTGTGCCCTGACAGGCGACTTTAGGTGGTTTGGGTCTAGGGGCGGGTGCAGGTGTTGGTGCGGGGACCGGTGCCGGTGCAGGTGTGGCTGGGGGCTGGTTCTGAGCTTGGTCTCTACGATGGCCTGGAGCTCGTGGAATCGGGACAGCAGTTCATCGTACTGTGTCAGGGGATGACTCCCGGGTCCCCATGACCCTCCCCTATGGTCCACAGCCTATAGTGTAACCAGCCCTACTGTGGGTAAGGAGATGAATAGATAAAGGCAATGTAGAATACACTTGCCTACTGTGGGTAAGGAGATGAGAAGGAAGCTAACTTCTCATCTTCCCACAGTGGCCACAATATCAGCAAAACTTCCGGGGATACCCGGAAGTCACATGAAGGGGTAGGAACCGGGTCCGGAGCATGCGGCACGCAGAGCGTGCATGCATGCGGGAAGCACGGCAGGTGGAAGCGGGTCCGGACGCAGGTCCGGGTCCGGGCTAGTCAGGGTGTGTGCCCTGACATACTGCTCTTCGGTTACCATAGCGGGGGAGGCGGGGGAGATGAGGTTGAAGCCTTCTTCTGCTGTCAGGGACAGCTCCGAAAGCGGCGAGGTCCCTGCATGCGGGACTCGGTGGGACGGATAGCGGCTGTGCATAGCGGCAGTCCCATCGCAGGGTGCGTGTCCCTGACCACTTAGGCTGAAGTGGGAAGTTGAGAAGAAGGCTGCTTCTTCTGTTCCCACCCCAGGTGCTATTATATACATGCAGTCAGGGTCACATGGAGGAGGCCACGTCATCTCCGCGCACAGCCACACCTCCCTGGGTGTCTCCACGGGAGATCCCGGAGGTGGCCGCTCAGTAGGCAGGAGTGTGCGTGGCGCATGCGGCGATCAGGGAAATGGGGTTAGGTATGTAGTGGTACATGGAGAAAAGGGAAATCGACCATAGAATAGAAATAGAGAGAAAAGGGGAAAAGTGAGGAAGGAGGGACGGGGCTGATAGTGGGGGTCGCGGAGTAGGGCAGTACGGTGTGGGGCGCAGCGTGGGGTCAGGCAGGTGTGCCCTGACAATGTTGGGCTTGATGCCGCACCACTGGACATGAATAATGATAGCTTTCGAGATCAGGTAAAACACCAAATCCTTTCCCTCCCCTCAACAAATCCCTGCTGGCTGCCCACCTGGAAAACCTTGGACCCCCATCTCATTCATGAACTGCGGCAGCAAGCTGCTGAAGTAGCGGCAAGATTTCCCGTCAATTATGCCTGACTTGAGATCGACCCCATGGATGCTCCAATAGTGATGGATAGTGAACAAGAACAAATAGATTTAAGTGACTAGTAGGCATTCCCTGTACACTTGGTTCTGAACTCGTATCTAGTTCCCCCAAATGACATACCCCATTGATCTTAATTTCTTCACGGAAGATTTACATCAGAGACATCAGAGATGCAGTGTGTGAGAGTCTACGTCCCAGGGAACATACCTGGTAAAGTATACAGGCTGGCCACACTCAGAAAACCAATGGCTCACGGGCGACCACCTGACCCACACCTCCGACCTAGTTGAGGAGTTCCATCGAACGCACCCCCACGCCCTGGGGAGAGAGAAGGAGAACCGCCCAGCTGCTTCGAGGCGAAGTGGCTTAAGGGGGGGGTGATGTCAGGGCACACCTGCCTGACCCCGCGCCGCACCCCACGCCGTACTGCCCTACTCTGCGACCCCCGCTATCAGCCCCATCCCTCCTTCCTCACTTTTCCCCTTTTCTCTCTATTTCTATTCTACAGTCGATTTCCCTTTTCTCCATGTACCACTACATACCTAACCCCATTTCCCTGATCGCTGCACGCGCCACACACACTCCTGCCTACTGAGCAGCCGCCTCCAGGATCTCCCGCAGAGACACCTGGGGAGGTGTGGCTGTGTGCAGAGATGACGTGGCCTCCTCCATGTGACCCTGACCGCATGTATATAATAGTGCCTGGGGTGGGAACAGAAGAAGCAGCCTTCTTCTCAACTTCCCACTTCAGCCTAAGTGGTCGGGGACGCTCACCCTGCAATGGGATCGCCGCTACGCACAGCCGCTATCCGTCCCACCGAGTCCCGCACGCAGGGACCTCGCCGCTTTCGGAGCTGTCCCTGACAAACATGCACAGCTTGAACATCGGCCATGACCCACATGCCACAATCATACCCATTCCGTTGTCGTTCCTCCATCTAGGGACTGTTAATGAATGTCATATTCGGTTGAAGCAAGATAGTATACTTACAGTGACTACTTTCATGGTCCAATTGAACCAGTTGAACCCATGCTGACCATCAGGGTGAGTGAACGACCAGACAGCGTCAACCAGTTGTTGGAGTATCTGTAGAAAGGGTATCACTAACACTGGGGCATGGACTAGAATCGGGCAACACACTGTAAAAACCCAATGTGGGCCATGGCAGTTTATATTGGAGGTTTCGGGGATGGGTTTGCTGTCAAGATAGCGCAGCTCTTGCTCTTCAAAGTTCACAACACCAAGAAGCCAGTAGCAGCTGGGACTGTCAACTGGTTGCTTCAAAAAGATCAGTTCGAATCTTTTTTGTTGCTCGCTAAGGAACTGGTCAGCACAGTGTTGAAGAGTGCACTCCAACATACATCCAATAGGCGAACTGCCAAATGATGTCGCATTCCCTCACACTGGGTAGGAAACATGATCACTTGGGGTCGGGTGGTACTGAGCAGGTCCCACAGGTTTTTGTCAGTGAGGTCTTTCAGCATCTCAATGTATGCATCAATTATCATGCCATCTATCAGCCACCGGCGATTGGCCATTACTAGTGCATTGGGGAAGATTGTGATGTGTTTGTAGTATCTTGTCTGGCCATCTTGTTTCACCATCTAATGGAGCATCAGTGGGATGAGTGGTGGGAGGCCAGGGGAATTCTCACTCTTCCTGATTCTTTAGGCAAATACAACTCCATTATTTCCTTCCAAATTTTCGTTGGCTTTTGTTGCTGAGAGGATTTGCTGGGCGAGCGTATAGCATCAAAGATCGTTGAATTTGGGGGAAGGCTCTGAGGACGAGGGTTCTGATTCCAGAACATCTCTTCGATGTTCTCATTACTGCTGGAATTATTTGCATCTCCTGATTGATTATGCCAAATAGCCGTAGGAGGTGGAGCCAAATTGGCAAGAGGCTCGCTGAATGTTTCGACATTCCCTGCAAGGTCAATTGCACCATCTGGCCCTGCTTCTAGCGCATCATCTACATGGCTTGGGGCCACCTCAGGGTCGAGAGCATTTCCCAGGCCACTAGCTGCGTCGGTAGGCAGGTCGGGGTCAGCATGATCAGCATCTATGTCCAGCTCAGGACTCATCCTAATAAGCCCATTAAGGGCACTTAGCTCGTTTCTGGCCTCAGCATTTTCTTCAGGGTCAATGTCATTACTTTCTGAGGGTAGAGTGGCGGAAGACGGTGGGAGAAGGCGGAAGGAAGAATATTCAGTGGTACTTGGCATAGCATTGGCATTGGGACGCTCTAAGTTTGTGAGTAGATAGTGTGCTGATGCACGCCATAGATTGATGTTGGGAAATGGACCGTTTACGATCATATCATGGCATTTGAGGGACAACCTTAAGCGTAGTTGCAATCGGTGGTTGAATAGGGCTGGGATCGAAAAAGATGATTAGCAATACAGGTAATCAGTGGAACTTATGTGACATACGATGGATATTGTCCATGATTCAAATCAATGAGTCCACCGATTGGACGATCCAGGTACGTGCATTAAGTTCTTCTCGGGCAAGCCTGCACTTTTCTTCCTCAATACGAGCAAGTGATAGCATTGCTGCTATCCCATGGCGAACCTGCTGATTGACGATGAAGGCCGGTGGTTTCTCATCCAGGGACCAGTTGGAGTTCCACAGGCTCTCCCACATCTTAGTCCATCGTTCATCACTGGGGTCCATATTGAGCACCTCTTTGACATTCATTTTCGCATGCACTTGAGAGTCTGGGAACCAGGATGGTCTGACAGAATGTTCGAGGCTGTTGACAAGCTCGTTATATTGTGCAACATGGGCAGAAATGGTTCGGGCGTGGTCGTTTGCACTACTAAACACTGAGACCATCCTCGAGTATCCTTAAAGTACCGGACAGGCTCTTAACTATGGCATCATTCACCTCAAGTGGGAGAAGGCTTACCGACTTTTGCAACTAGCCACCCTCCACGCCGTTGGGAGCTTTGAACAGGGTTCATCTCATCCTGGTACTTGGCTAAGCGGATAAGTATAGAATGTTTGCGGAACCGGGCTAGAATATATTTCTCGATGTAGTCCCTTTCTGGGCCAGATGGATTTTGCGGAAGTTTCAGATCAGACAGACCGATTTGGGCAGTCAAATTGTGCAAGCATTTTTGGGATTCATCATGTAACTCCCGCAGATGCTGAGCAGCTTTGAAATGCTCCTTGAGATCGGTAGAACTATCAGCCATTGTTCGTATCAGGACGATATGATCCAGCTCCTTCTTTATGGCTTCCAATGCATCTGAATGTGCCTGAGCCGACCATTCGGCTCCCAAAAGTTTTGCAAACTTTTTCATTCCAGCTTGGTCATTGTCTAGGACATAACAGCATAAGCCAACACCGAATGTGGGATTGGAAATGTGCATACAAGCCCGAACGGAGAGCTGCAAAGACTTTTGCTCTTCCCACTGGGATTGAAGAAAACGAGTGGTGAATCCACTATTCTTCAAATCTTGGAGAAGTTCAGTCGAAAGTGCCTCCTCATGAAGAATGGTGGCCATTTTAGACCTTGCCAACAAAGCGAGACAGTCTTGACCACGGGATGCAATTAGCTTGATTTTGCTGTCAATAGTTGCAATCCATTTTGCCAGCTATATTTCCAGAGCAACATTGCATCAGACTGGGCTTGTGGAGCGAACGGTATAGGGCATGTTGGGACTCACACTCATCATGCATTCGGGCGCTATCATGTCAACCATTGAGGACCATAACCGCTCATTCCCTCCCCATTTGACTTCCCAAACCCGTTGCGTTTCCATGGGTGGAACGCGATTTGACAACAGAATTGATGGGCATAAGCATGGAAGACTGAAACTGCGATGCTTAATCTGGGGGCAATTTCAGGGATAAGATTATACTTTACTCAAACATCAGAGGTTGTATCTGCAGAGTGTGCGAAGTCATACCTTGGCCACGGATCGATCAAGAATGCACCCAACGTCATACATCAGTCCAATGGTGGCGTTTGAGGGGAGTTGGCAGCTGAGTGCGATGAGCATGGCAACTGAGAAGTGTTGCCATTTGCCCCGAGTGCACATGTCACATAGGAAGAGGGGAATATCATGATGGCACACGGTTGCCATCAGGCCCTTTGAATGGAAGGTATCCATTTTGGAGGCTGACTTCCCTTCATGTTTTGTGGCTCCGTGGGATTCTTTGCATTCATCAATGGCACCATCCAGTACAAGAGATGAAGGACGAGATTCCAAAGAACCTCTAGATGCAGCTCGTGCCTCAGAGACATGGTGGGCAGCTTCATCTATTTCAGCCTGGGTCAGGAATGTGCAGGTTTCGTTCCAGGGAAGAACCATCTCTCCTCCAACAAACATGTACTGCTTATGTTGCATATTACCATCCATAGCGACAATGACATCAGGATATCTGGGGAGGAAATTAGCATACCCATTCTTGAAATAGATGTGAGGACCAACTCATTGGCAGGACTACCCCACACTGACCCCCCAAAACACTGTGGGCATTTCGCACGGAGGTATGGGCTGGCACTGTTGCCAGAGGTGTTGCGAAGTAGCTTTGTTTGCTCACAGGTCAATGATTGAGGATTCATGGAGGCTGGCATGTCAGGATCACTAGATATCATGCCATGAGGTACGATCGTTGGATCGCTGTCATGAGCAGATCCATCATGGTCAGGCCCTACAGATTTATGCGGTGCGTGCTAGACACTGGTCCAGGGTCGGCACCGAGGGTCGCTGTTGCAGGCCGCTATAGGCCATGATGGCTGTGATGCCACGAACAAGGCCCGGGGGGTAGGGCATTTGGCCTCAGCAACTCTAAAGGGAGTGCTGTGCCCCCTAGCTGTCTCTTGGCCCTCATTTCGGACTCACTGGGGTTGCCTTGTTGGGGTCAGGACTTAGGGGTCGTGGTCACATCGATATTAGAGCTAAGGTACTATAATGTAGTATACAGGGTATATATATGAAGATAGAATGAATAGAAGCGGACCCGGGCCGAAGGCCGAAGGGTCCGGAAGCAAATAGGAACAAAGAGCGGGGTTGGCCGCACAGCAGCTGGCAATGACCGAGGGTCAAAACAAACAATAACAGATAAATAAACGAAGGGGTGTAGGGCCGTGATAGTGGCAATGGTATCGTAGCAGAGTAGGTGATGTCGCGGAGTCATGCTAGGTCGGTGCCAGAGGTGGACTTGGGGCAGGGAGGTCGGTGTGGCTGTGGGGGAGTCGGCCAAGTGTAGGGGAGCCTAGGGGCAAGTGGGGGAGTGAGCAGGGAGCCCTCAGGGAGGATAGGGCTGAGGTTGGGGCTCGCGCTTGCACTCGCACAGCAGGAATAGGCTCGGGCGGCATCGGGATGGGCCGGGAACGGGCCGGAATGCACAGCCGTGACAGTGCATCAAGACATAGCGGTGCATCGAGCTCCACAGGGCCTGTGGGTAGGAGAAACTCTCTTTCTGTTTCAACCTCTACAACGTCCCGCAGGGCCTTAAACCATGTAACCACTTCGCTAAACGGGCCTAGAAAGGGTTCCTATATGTAAGTGCGATTATGTACATGTCAACGCCACACAAATAATGAATCTTACATTGACAGGGAATCCATAACCGTTCTCCTGCAATATGCCAAACAAAGCGCATGGAAGGAGGCAATCGGAGTAGACAAGCTCACATTCAAAGCTAGGTATAGGGAAAGGACGTCGAAATGGAAGGCAACCTGAGGTATCACAGGTGACCCGGGAAAGTAGCTGGACTGGATGGTGCTAAGTGGGAGGGTATTGGAGGGACATCCACAGTATTCAAACATACGCTGCACAGCACCTGGAGTGAGGTCATTAAACCACTATTAGAGAAGCCAGGATACCAATGTACTTGAGGATGTGATCGTCATGAGTGAATGAAACCGGAGGTATGTGTTGCAACGAGAGCAGAGCGACGCTATCAGTGTGCACAGGCATCCATTTTCATCAAACAACGTCTCACCAGGGGTACAAAGAGATATACGGCCCACCTTCTTCGCCTCCAAATCTAAGTAGATTCCCACTGCTTTATATATCACGTTCTCATGCCAATGAAGCCAAGCTGCCTGCTTTTGTGGGTTCCGCGATGCTCTCTTGTTTCGTTTTTTGGGAGCTGATGGCAGTGGCGAAGGGGATGAAGGGGTGTCTGAGCCTGGGATAGTGGCTTCTGCAACATTTTCCAACCAAGAGTGGGGAGATTCTTCCCATATGAGTGACTCCATTTTTGGAGCCTGCGGTGAGGGGGGAGTCGAGATGTTGTCGGTGCACGCAGCATCGCACTCCCCATATGATCGTGGCGATTTGGGACCTGCCACCGATGGGTGGACTGGATTCCTGGTCCCCAGCGTTGGGTCACCACAGAGCCACCGGAGGTTGCTATCTCCACCCATCATGATGGCTGGGGGGCGGTGTTATCACGAGCTGAGGCATGGACATTGGACATTGAGAATTCAGGATAACATGCAGGTTGGGGGTTAAGGAGATCGCCATGTTTTTTAGGTTTATTATAATTATATGGACGATATCTTTTTACAGGTGAAGTAGAAACGGGAGCCTTTACAGGTTTGTATCTCCTCGGCATGGTGTAGTTGCTTTGGAAAACTAACGCATTCAGGTCAAAGCAAAGAACAGGGCAGGCCCTTCAACAAGAACGCGCGGGTCGCGCTGTCAATTGATCTGTAAAGCAAATGCGCGCTCAGCTGAACAGCCATGCGGATGTGGCTGCAGGACACACGAATAAGGGTGGACACCAAACGAGGTGAGCCGGAGCGATTGCTTGTCCGTGTTGCAGTGGGAAATAAAGCCAGGGCGCTGAAGCTTCAAAAGCGGTTCTTCTATGTGGGTATTGGGCACGGAGTGGTAGGCAGTGGCGGGGGTACACGTCGGGTCAGGTTCTGTCCGATTGCACCGTCTGGGATTAACCAGCACTGACCGAGGAGTTCGCGGTTACTCAGACCCAATGTGAATGTGATCCCACTGATCCGGATTGGATAAGGGGTAGCGTGGAAAACGGGATGCAGAGGGTTGCGATAACTGCCAACAATTCCGCAGGTTGAGGCCGTTTACGCCCGTTCGATGGCAGTAGATGATACACAGAGCTTTTATTACTATTCTGGGGATGTCCCACAACAGAGAGCAAGATCTAAGTCTTTGTGCGCGAGTGAGGAGCAGGGTAGGTAGGTAGGTATGTGTATCGCGTAATGCGCCGTTCAGAGGAAATGTGGGGATGAGGCGGCTCGTACTGGTTATGCCTGTGAAGGGTGTCGTACGGGGTCGGAGTGGGAGATCGGCCTTTGCAGCGTGTTGCCTGGACGAGGGAAACGACAACGAGACGCTAGCGGTGCAAGGGTGCAGCCTCCAGCCCTCCTTAGTCGGATATCTCTACAAAAGGGCTATGAAGCCGCACGGGACGTCGAAAGCAATCACCGTTCCACACAAACGACGTATGTCCGGGAGGCTCGATTGGCTGAAGAGCGTGCTTTAACCGTGACGCACCAGCGACACACTAAGCGCCTCCGGTGGTCTTCAGTTAGCTGCGACGAGGGGATTCTTCTGAAATATCTGTAGGGCGATTGAGGTCGAATGCAGGGTGTGTTGTGAGAGGTGTCGATACAGGCAGAAGGTTTGACCCGAGTGCCCTTACCAGCGAGAGGCCTGTCAAAAGCCCAACGATAACCGACAGGGACAAATGAGTGTTCGTGCGTGATGGCCTTGAGCGATGTGAAAAGGAAACGGGGTGCTGCACGGATCAGAAGCGATTTTCACAAGACGTGAACGACGGATTTTGTGCTCACCGGATATGGCCCCTATTGTAATGGATAGGACGCCGAGCCCAAACCAGTGATCAAAAGCCTATCTGCAGTGCAACATACGGTCATATCGGGGGCTGAACGCGTCGAACGACGCGTGCGTCACTCACGGCGCTTTCAACGATTTGGAATGCAAGAGACGCGTCGGCTTTACCCGAAACGGGTCAACATTTAGTGGTTTGGTTGTGTTTCAGAATTGGTGAGTGAGAACAAAAATCACGGTGAAAAAGGCTCTCGTTACTCACTTAGGCTTCACCATCACAGTCTGAGCAAGATGCACGCTCCGACCCAAATCAGTGGTGGTAGCGATGACACGTGTCACCGCGGAGTTGGCCGGCTGTTTTTCCGCTGATCTCCGAATACACTTTTCCTTTGAACCGCAAACCTGTGAAATGGCATTGGCCCAACCGGCAACGACGACTCTATCATCTCAGCCAATGGCCGATCAGTCCCGGTCGGGATCTGAGCCAGAAATTAAGAGAAAGGGATTACAGTGGAACTTGACCGTTGCGAAGGACTGGCTTACTATGAACAAGGATATGAAGATTGCGACTTGTGCTGATATTCGGGAGAAGGCACTCGTTGGAATTGGGGAACTGGAAGTTTTCGACCCCAGGCGTCCACGTCTTCGGCTTGGTGGTCGGAATCCACGACGGATTAAAACCAATGCTGTGAAGCGCATTGGTAATGATATTTACAACGATGCTGGTCCCCGACGTCTCACCCCAGACATGGCTATTCATTTGGTTGTGCGGCGATCTTGGATCCAAACTCAAGCATGGCCTCGCCAAATCACGCATCAGAACTATCAGTCTCTTCCGCCTGTCGTATTCTCAGATGCTGGTCAGGAGGCAGCCAGTTCAAACCAGATCCATGTCATAAATGGACAACATAGGTAAGTTTGCTACTTGAACGCTTCCGGCTGCAATTAATAATTCCTCGGGGCCGACTAACTCATGATTGATCTCTCCTTAGAATTGCCGGGTTACGACGTGCTTACGAAACAGCAGAGACAAAGTTGGAGCAGCTTGAGCAAGCCATTGAGAGGCAAGGGGAAGAAGAAGAAGAAGAAGCCAAGGCTGCAGAACTTCAACGCCTGCGCAGAGACGAGCTGGACAAGCTTGAGAAGTTGAAGACATGGCCCTGCAACATTTGGGATCTTGGTAAGCCTGGCTATGCCCCGAAGTCTTCCAGGATCACTCAACATCGCTCTAAAAAAGACGTCATTGAGGCAGAGGAGACAGGAAATCTGCTAATCGATCTCCTTTCCCAAAACAAGGACACTGTTGAAATCAATGCGACGGAAGAGGACCGACTTGCCCCCCTGTATCAACAGCTTCTTGGGCTCCAGAGGAAGGATGGTTGGCGCCCAGAATTGTGGCGCTCTGTTGCATGCCAACAGGGGGTGGGAGGACACCAATCGCGGCTCGAAGAACTCATCAACAAACAAGACATGGTCCGAAAGTTTGGAACAATTGTGATGGACCACAGAACTACCCGAGGTATGATGGAAATGACACGCATTGGGCGTTACTACCGTGACTGGAGTGGGTTTACTGTCAACCATATCTCAACACGAACAGTGAAGATGACATCCTCGGTATGTGGATTCTGCATGCGGGACTAACATCATGGTGCAAAATTGAATATGCATCACATCAGTACCTCTGGACTTACATTCAAGCCCAGAATGAACTTCTGGGCTTGGTATTCTGCAATTCGACATCGGACGCAAATTTCCCATATGAAAAATTTCAAACAATTCTTGCCAAACATGCAAAGGCCAAGTCCCCTGCGATTCGAGAAACACACAAGAAGCAACTTGAAGAGCTTGCTGTCGAATTTATCACTACCTTCATCGACCAAGTGGAATCCATGCCAGACCTCGAAGAGTATTACACCATGGAGTTTTGGAAGGGTGTTGAGAAGGCGGAAGTTGATTCTGGTCTCGCATTGCCTGGAGGAAAGAAAAAGAAACATCTCTATGCTGACGATGTTTTCCAGGTTGCCACACTAACTCAACAAGCCAAATATAGCAACTATATCAAGGAAGTTCGGAAAGGGATTGAGAAAATTCTCTCCCATGCCAAGGACCTTTTAGATCCCCATGTCAAATTAGCTGCCCTCAGCCGCTTTGACATCTTATTCTCAGGGCACCTCTATAACATTCGGATGGTCCTTATGAGCACCCCATTACTTGACAAATTCGAGGATATCTGTGGGCAATACATGGAATGTTTCCGTGAGGTATGTGGTTCAAATAACTATTTAAATTTCATACTATCATTTCAGATGTTGTATTCGTTTGCGAACACGAAAATGGTGACTGGTTTCTTGTCCCATATCGTATTCTTGTTCGCGAACTTGAAAACGATTTATTTGGTTTCGGTTTGTCATGAGCAACAGCTGATCATCGTATTTCTGTTCGCGAACATGAAAACGAGGTTTCTTGTCCTGATAACATCGTTCTCCTGCTCGCGAACAGAAAAACGATTGAACACTACTTACAAAGTGTTACTTTGCCATTGTGGTTCCACTCATTTGCCATTGATCGGGATGATTTACTTACCCCTTGGTCTCACCAGATTCATGCCTGGGTGGACCCAATCTCTGCCTACTTGCTTGAGTGGCCAAAGGACGATCCTGCAGATCGTTCATATGTCTTGTTTGACTCGTTTAAAAGGGATATTCTTCTTACAAATCACCATCACATTGAACTTGTAGTAAGTCACATAAATAGGACTCATCTGCACAGGTCCTCATTCATTCAAGTTTGCAATGCATGTTGTCTGTAACATGCTGCCTCACTTCTCAAACTGGATCATCGAGATGGAAAGGAGCCCTGAGTACATTTTCCTCCCTCAACTCGAGACTGCCCGGCTTCCTAAGGGCTTTTGGCAACAAGTGAATGTCTACGGAGCAGCACAAGGAAAGGGCAAGGGCAAGAAAGGTGCCAGAGACAACAGTGATGCTGTTCCCCCTATTCCACCAAACTATACGAATGGGATTTTCGCATCAGGTCGGCTGGCTCTGACCTGGCAGATGGAATGTCAGCATTTCCGCACCTGTCAAGATGTGTTTCGCACATGGAATGTGAACGAAGAACCAAAGGCTCTACGCCATGCCTCACGCTCAGTCAAGGACATTCTTCATAGAGCCATGTCAGTGTATTCCTCCATCACAGTTTTTGATGGGAAGAGCAACAATTTGCAACGTATCTCCTCGAAGTGGAGAATTGCGATGCTGATGTTGCTGGTCCATGATGCCAAATGCCGCCGACCCCTGATGAGAAGCCATGGGATTTCCGCCTTCCTCTATACCTCTCTTGTCAATGCAGTTAGGTCTAGTGCGATCGACCCCAAAGAATTCGACCTTGTCTCTTCTCATCAGAAGAATGCTGCAAGTGACAGGTATGTATACCTTGATGACCCAACCCTCTTTGTTCGGCGCCTTCAGGGGCTGCCTGATGAGTCCGAGACTGAGGACGAAGATGGGGAGTCACCCTTGGCTCAGTATAACCTTCGGCGTCGCCAACATCAAAGTGACATCCAAGTTCTTCGTGACACATTTAAAAATATGCCCTGGATCCACTCCCACGAGCGGATTAGTGCCCCCCTCGATTGTGGACTCATAGAGGCATGGAATGACTTTGAAACAGTAGGTGCAAATATATTATGCTCCCCTCTTCATCTGGATTAATTGCATCTTTAGGCACTCCGCCGTTACTCGATTGTTTCATCCCTGAATGCTGTGATCACTGATGAGGAAAAATATGGAACTACCATCCCAACAGCCCTCCATGATGAAGATATCCATGTTACCGAGTGGATTAAACCATCCAAATTCGAGTACAAGCCCAATGTGTACAAGGGCTCTACAGTGAGTGGAAATAATCTTGCTCTGGTGATGCAGACCCTGATTGTGTTTCAGTTGCGATCTGACCACTCAGCACCCCTCCCAAAATTCCTTTGGAATCACAAAGATTTTGATTTTATTGCTCCAGTGAGTGCATATGAGCTCTCCCAATAATAATTATCATTGCACTCAGCAACTCCTCAACCCAACAATAAGGGTGGTGACAGTGCAGGTGGTGACAGTGCAGGTGGTGACAGTAACAATGGGGATGGGGAGAGTAGCAATGGGGGTGGTAAGGGTGGTGGTGAGAGTGACAACAAGAGCAGTGAGAGTGACAACGAGGGTCACAAGAATGCTCCAGATAAGGGGAAGCAACATATAGTTCAGGATGTCAGCCCTTCTGATCTAAAGGTGTGTAATCCATATTTTGGGTATCTGATTTCCCAAAACAATTATCACTTTCTTAGTCACAGCCTGCTCCCCAGGGTGATGAGGATGAATCATCATCACTCTCAGATGGTGAGGACTGGCTACTCTCTCGCAAGCACCCTTGTGAACCTGGGGAGTCCTTACCTACCTCTCCAACACGTGTCCCAGCCAAACGGGCCCGAGCTGCTGACACCCTTGCTGTCCCTTCACGACAGAGTAATCGACTTCAAAACCGCTCCTCCACCCCTGTGGTCTCCCAATCATCCACGAACCCCAACCCAAGAACAGGCAACCTCATTGCTAACACTAGTGGGCTCAAGAAGCTGGGGCACTAAGTATTTCCTTGCTTTGTATTCACTCTCTTCACTCATTGTAAAATACATTGTTCTGCTGCTGAGATATGCAGTCAAGGACCCAACTCGACCAACTGTATAGGGGTCAAATTTCAATTTGCATAAATGTAATGTATTTACTGTGCTTTTCAGAGAACCTGTCCGATGAAAAGTGAATGGGGTATGACCCTGTTTGTGAGAAATCAACCAAGAAATGGCCAAATTTCTGCAATTTCCACTTTCAATATAGTTTGAATTATATTTCAATATAGTAATTCTTGCACAGCCATTCCGTGTTCCCCATTGCACACTAAAGTCCCAGCTATCTGGGTCTCATTTCATAACAAGTCCAGGCTCTGCTCTGCACAACGGTCACTCACAACAGTCACTCTCATGGGCGCTAAAGCACACCACTCCAGACATGAAGCGACTCACCATCCTAATGTCCAAAACCCTTTCTACTGAGGAGATTTCACAAGCTACACATCTCAGTAGCCAGACAATTCACTGTATCTTTTGGCTCACAGGCAGGGGATTCCCTTCGAGAAAGTCAGCAACCGTGGGCAGACTCGCAAACTGAACAACTGGGATTTGGATGTGAGTATGACATATCATGGCAATCAGTTGGTGCTAGTGCTCAATCTATTGACCAGCTGATGCAAGGTCATATCGAGCTTAACCCAGATCTCTACCTTCATGAAATACAACGAATATTAGAGATCTACCACAACATCTCTGTTGGCCAATCGACTATCTGGCGAGGCTTGAAGCAACAGGGTCTCACATACAAAAAGGTGCTTATTATACATTTTATGTCTTCTTTAGCATTCTGAAGAAGTTATTTTTCCTGACAGCTGCAAAAAGTTGCATCGGAGCACAATGAAGAATTACGAGCTGCATTTAGGCAGTATATGGGCCGGAACTACCAAGCTGAATGGCTTGTTTTTGTCGATGAGACAGGTTGCAATTGCAACACCTCTTCACGCTCCCATGGCTGGGCACCATCTGGTGACCGAGCATGTCGCCAGGATTTTTTTGTGTGAGGAACCAAGTATGTAACATCTTTGACTCTAAATCCACGCTTCTGTCAGAGACCAGGTTGAGACGAGGGGTGTCTCCGTGGCAGAGGGCTTCAGCCTCAGCGACTTATGCCAGGAGCGCTGTGCCAAGTAACACGTCCATGCCCTAACTTACTAAACTGGCAACCAGAACTGAAGGGGGTAAACTCTAGTCGATTTTATTACTGAGGTGTAACCTATGTACAAGTTGAGTATATATAGTTACAACGAGGGAAGGCCCGCAAATGATGGAGCCGAGCGGAGTGGAGCTAACGGGGTTAGACATTAGCCGATTGAATATTACCGACAAGTCGGGTTACAGGGTTAATGGAAAGGTAGGCGATAACCCAGAAATGGAAATGTTATGGAAATGGGATTTTCCCATTTTTAGCCTCTTATGGGCTCTATGCAGTACAATATCACGTGACATGTAAATAATAACAACCTAACCAATTATTATCACCCAAAACACCCGATGTCCATGTTATTGTAAACCCCACTGTTACAACATCTGTTACATTAATTGTAACATCTTCTCAATGTCACGGCCCCCTCCTGCACCTGGACGCTATAGAAATGGGCCAATTAGGCCCCATTTTTATAACAATGGTGTCGCAGCCACTTCCACATCTGATCAGCAATCGACAATGCAGCTTTCTGTGCAGGATGTTACTCAGGCCAGCCCTAATGGCAGGTTTTTAAATGGCTGCTCATTAACGGTCCATTTGAAACACGCTCTGGAGCGGGTTTTGAATTCATTACATACATTCCCGTGTGCCCCACTCACCCTCCTGGTGGATTGGAGGAAATTGACCCCAGATACGGTGGGGGTCGAGTTTTTCCACGACCTTTCAAGGCAGTCCATTGGCTGTCGCATCAATAATAAGTGCCGCACTCGATTTTTCAAGCGATTCGCGAATTCACTCGGACTGCATCCGAGTTTGGAGTTATGCCAGCGAAGTTCGAGGTGGACCCACTGGGGGACATTTGGTAGAGGGCTCTGAGCTGCGTACTTTCGCTACAGCTTGGAGTGTTTTGAAAACAAAATTAACTGATTTTCTTTTACACTTGGAACGTGCGCAGAAGGCACTCGCTGCGCTGCTGGGCCATTTCCCCCACCTGATCCAAGCCCAAACAACCCAGCCCAGCCCAGTACACCCTCCCAGCCCAGCTCCCCTCCCTCCATCGTCGCATCGACACCAGGAAATGATGCGTCAGCCCACTGCGACGCGATCCATTCCTGGATCGACTACGGTTTCTGCCCAGCTGCGCCCAGTGACCCCACCCACCTCTCCCACCACCTCTCTGCGTCGTCCAACGGCCCCACCACAACCGTGTCCGGCTGTCCCACCATCGATTCCATGGCATTCGCGCCCGATCCAGCTGTGCCTGGCCATTCCACCCCCAATCCCATGGAATTCGCCCCCGATCACGATGTGCGCGTCGTTCACAACACGTCACTCGCCCCTCCAACCACATCTGGCCCCCTCCCCACATCTCCCTTCGACTTCAGCGTGTCCTGAGACCATGCTGTCGTCGTCGTCGTCGCCATCTCCATCCCCACACCCTCCCGCGCCAAATCTGGTGCGTCTATCGACTCTGACACGTCCAGTACCACGACAGACGCATCCTGTCCCCCCTCAGCCGTGCCCACCGTCAAAATGGGTGAGCCTGATGCCCATCCAGCTGCGCACGGACCCAGTACCACTTCCCCCTCCCAACCTTCCAAGCCGTCTGCGTCCACTGGGTGAGCCACCACCCCCGAGTCCGCATTTGCCACTCTCAGAGCCCTGGAGGCTGGACTGTGGGGGGCTGCTGTGCGGCCCATTGGAGTCTGGGGGGCTGGGACCCCCTTTTTTTTATATATATATTTTCATAAAATTTATTTCTTAATCTAAACCTTGTGCCAAGCTTTCCCACCGGGTTTTGGTGCTGGCCAAGGGATTTTTTTTCTGTATTGTGGGACTTCTCACAACTTTTCTGTCTTTTCTTTTCTTTTCTCTTGTTGATGTCCTGCACAGAGACCCATAAGAGCCTGGGGGCAATGTTATGGAAATGGGATTTTCCCATTTTTAGCCTCTTATGGGCTCTATGCAGTACAGTATCACGTGACATGTAAATAATAACAACCTAACCAACTATTATCACCCCAAACACCTGATGTCCATGTTATTGTAAACCCCACTGTTACAACATCTGTTACATTAATTGTAACATCTTCTCAATGTCACGGCCCCCTCCTGCACCTGGACGCTATAGAAATGGGCCAATTAGGCCCCATTTTTATAACAGGAAAGGAGGGATAGGCCCAAAGGTGGGCTTGCAGGGCAAGCGAGTGTATTGCCCAGTGGAGGTGGGAGTGCGCTAGCGGACGTCGGAGCTGTCTGGAAGCCTTCGGGGCTCCATACTTAGGGAGGCATAGGTAATAAATTGAAAGGAGGGGGTGGTGACCATTGAGGGGTACCGAGGTGATTTTGGAGGTAGACCAGAGGGATCAGAGGGAGTGGAAGTCGATGGTCAGGGATGGATATGACAGTATCCCCTTCTTAGGCCTGAACCCTTGGAGGCCCAGAATTAGTAAGGTGAGGGGAGCTGTACTTACAGAAAAAGAAAAATGACAAAACAGAAGTGAGGAGTGGAGAGAAAGGGAGAGATGGGAGAGGAGTTGGGGTTCCTAAGGAGCTTCGGGTCCAGGCTTATCTGGGTACCGAGAGTGGAATGCGACGAGGTCGGAGGCGTGATCGAGCTCGCTGGCAAGTAGCCATTGTGTCTCCTCGTCGGTCCCTTCATAGCCTAGCCACTTGACCAGGTAGAGCAACTTGTTGCATCTACATCGGTCGATCTTGGAGTTGAGTATCTCTTTGATCTCGAACTCGATCTCGCCTTCGATTTCTATGGGAGGCGGAGGTGGCTGGTGGCGGTTCAGAATGATGTTCAGGACGGAGGGTTCGATCTGTGAGACATGGAATACCGGGTGAATGGCTCGCATGTTTTCCGGCAGGCAGAGAGTGAGGGAGTGAGTTCCTATGTGGGCAATGATCTTGAATGGGCCGAGGTTTTTCTCGGAGAGCTTTTTGGAAGGTCGGGTGGAGTGGAAATACTTGGCCTTTACATAGACCGAGGTTCCTACTTCGAAAGCTGGGGCAGGACTCTGACAGGAGTCTGCTGGGCCCTGATAACGGATCTGAGCGAGGTGCATTTCCTCGCGAAGGAAGTGATGGAGGGAGTCGAGATCTACAGAGTACTCCTGGGCGTGTACTGATGTTAGGTCTCGCTCCAGGTGAACGGTGATGTTCGGATGGTAGCCTTTGTTGGTGAAGAATGGAGAGACGCCTGTGGTGGCATTCGGAGTGTTGTTGTATGCGAACTCTGCAAGAGGCAGGAGTTCGGACCAATTGTCCTGCTGGTAGTTACTGTAGATGCACAGGTACTGCTCGAGCGTCTGGTTCATCCGTTCGGTCTGACCGTCTCCTTCTGGATGATGACCGGAGGTGAAGTGGAGGCGGATGTCGGGGGCCTTACCAAGTGAACAGAAAAAATGAGAGACAAACTCTGGACCCCTGTCGGAGGTGACGTGGGAAGGAACTCCGTGCTTGGAGAACACATGGAGGAGGAAGAGCTTGGCCAGTTCCGGAGAGGTGATGGTGTCATGGGTAGGAATGAAAATGCACTGTTGGGACAGGCGGTCCACGACGACCAAGATGGAAGTGAATCCAGAAGAGGAGGGTAGCTGTTCGATGAAATCCATGGAGATGGAGTTCCAAGGACGTTTGGGGATGGGGAGTTGTTTGAGCAAGCCGTAAGGCTTATGACGGGGGACTTTAGCACAGGTACAAGAAGTGCAGGAGGAGACGTAACTCTTGACGAAGTTACGGATGCCCGGCCAGGTATACTCACGACGTACTAGATCCAGAGTCCAGTTTTGACCGAAGTGTCTGGAAAGTTGGTGGTCGTGTTTGTCTTGCACAATGCGGAGACGGAGATCGTTAGAATCTGGAACGTAAATGCGGTTGTCCAGCCTTAACAGGCCTTCGGCAGCAATGGACCAGCGGGAATTGGGGAGGTTGGGG